CTTGTGGAATCTTTGGGATTTCCTATGTACGGGATCATGTCATCAGTGAATAGAGACAGTTTTACTTCTTCCTTTTCAATCTGGATGCACTTTCTTTTTCTTACCTTATTGCTCTGGCTGGGACTTCCAGTACAATGCTGACTAAAAGTTGATAGTGGGCACTCCTGTCTCATTCCTGCTCAGTCTTTCTCTGTTGAGCATAATGCCGGCAGTTGGTTTTTCATACATGCCCTTAATCATGTTAAGGAATTTCCCTTCTATTCCTATATTGCTGAGAATTGTTATCAGGAATGGGTGTTGGATTTTATCAAATTCCTTTTCTACATCTACTGAGATGATCATGTGGTTTTTTACCTTTGTAGTCTATTACATTGATTTTCTAATGTTGAACCATCCTTGAATAACTGGAATAAATCCCACTTGGTCATGGTGTATAATTCTTGTAATACGTTGCTGAATTCTGTTCACTAGAATTTTGTTGTGCATTTTCTGCATCTACATTCACAAGGGATATTGGTCTGCAATTTTCTTTTGTGATATCTTTATGTGGCTTTGGTATCAGGGTAATGCTGGCTTAATAGAATGCATTAGGAAGTATTGTTTCCTCTTCTATGTTTTGGAAGAGTTGGGGTAGGATTGGTGTCAATTCTTCTCTGAGTGTTTGGTACAATTCCCCAGCAAAGCCATCTGGTCCAGCGCTTTTCTTGTTGGGAGGTTTTTGATGACTGATTTCAGTATTTTCTCTTATTATGGGTCTGTGCAGTGCAGTGAATTACTTCACATGGTCCTTCTAGCCAGTCTTTGTGAATCCCACACAATGATTGGGTGGGACTATGCAAATAAGGTGCTTGTGCCCCACCAACGGGACTGGACAGCTGGCTAATAATGTAAATGAGGTACATGGAACCCTGCAGGGGTGGGGTCATGCAAATAAGGTGTCTAAAACCCTAACGAGGGAATTGTTCAGTTTTGCCATCCTGCTATGTTTAAAAGAGAGCTAATCCCAGAGCAGTGGGAAACCTCACTACTACCAAGAAAAACAGGAAGTGGAGTGCAAGATGGTGAGAAACAGCAGCAGGAGAACCAGGAGACCAGTGCAAGATGGCATGGTGGGCTTTCCGGCCCACAGAGCAAAGTGGTTACGGTAGGACTGCTGACCCACGGAGGGAGACAGCTGAGCACCTTTGGGCAGGAGACTTCCTGATGGACTGGGGTGCCTCTTTAGAATGCTCTTCTTGCTTATTACTATTACCAGGGTTCGCAGGGTCTCCTGTTCTAGTCATACCTGTTCCAGGACAGCTTGCTCAGGTATTTTGGCATGTGTTATTTCAAGCTCACTTCTCTGTGGCTGGGTGCTTCTGGCATCAGGGCAGGGTGTGTGTGATTGTCGTATTGGGCTCGGGTGGGAGTGTCAGCAGCGCTGGGCTAGGACGAGCCATGGCAGCTACGCTAGTCTGGGGCAGGTCACCTAGTAAGGCACTGGTCCGGGGGCACAGCTAGGTGTTGCACTGGACCAGGGGTGTGTCCTGCAGGCAGTGCGCAGGACCAGGGTCACGGCTGCAGGCTCTGCTCAGGTCACAGGTGGTGCCTTAGGCCCTGTGCCAGTGTGTACAGGACCCCAGGCGTGGTGCCAGTCCTGGGGCAGCGCCACAGGCGTTATCCTGCCTCTGACCAGGTGCTTCAGGTTTCTAGGGGTAACGTGTGCTCCTGTGTGGTCAGGTTTGGGTGAGCATGTCCACAGTGTCTGGGCAGTTGGTCCTGGAGTGCTGGGCTGGGCTGGGCATGTGTATAATCTCAGGCTGGGGGGCTGCAGGGGGCTGGACCAAGCTAGACACGAGCTGCCTGGGCGGTGTTCTTGCCACAGGTGTCCGGGCAGAATTCCCACCTTAGGCCAGTCAGTTCCCAGCAGGGAGCTCAGCCTACGGATGCCTAGGGTAGCCTCTGATGGATGGCTGGGGTGAGGAGCACCCCCAGCGGTCTCCAGCAGACAGGCTTCCTGGGTGATTTGTATTCAAGGGACTAATTCCTGGTGATTACACTTTGCTGCACTCCCCTCACCAACTGGGCCGGGAAAGCACGGACTCATGCCATGCTGCTGTACTTTCTGTGTTCCCTTCCCCACGGTACTCGTTCCAGCCTTCCTGCTCCTTGCCTGGAAGGAAGCTCAGTTAATACTACTCTCCTCAGGTAGCACTCCCTTAGGATTCCTGGGATTTCACTCTATGCTACACCTGAGCCTCACTCTCTCCCAAGTAGGCCCAGTCCTGCTGTGTGGGCCACCCACCCTGTCACTCTGTTGTGGAGCCAATTTCTTAATCTCCTCGTCTTGGTCTGTTTTCTCCATGTTGCTCCCTCCCCTGCTCTCTGCTCACAGGTTCCCCATGTCTCTAACCCGACATGGCAGTGATACGCAGGACTTCTGAGTCGGGTGTGTACAACTGACTTTCCCATTGTGTGTATTCTACCTTCCTCTTGATTCTGCCTTCCTTTAGGATCTCCAACTTTTAACTTGTTGTCTGGGACTCCGAGATCTTCGCCTATATCACTTCTTAGCTGTCCACTTCTGACACGGCTGTGGGGGGATGTGACTGTGCAACCAGCTCTGCCGCCATCTTGTCTCCTTTCATCCCAGTCTGTTTTAACCTTCAGCCACAGGCTTAGGATGAGGACGACTCTGCAACCAATTAGGTGGTTTACAGAGGATTTCATACACAACTGTGTGTTCATTATACTGCCTCTATGACCCATTTAGACAGCTGAAAGATCAAACCCAATTTAAATTTAAAACACATTCACTTCAACAGTAAGGAACAGCACAATGCATACATTATGCTACCATTTTATAAAAATAGCAAGGAAATACATATAGGGAAGTGGTACGCTTATGCCGAAAAAAGTCTCTGGAAAAATTAACAAGAAACTAACAATGATAGTTGTCTTTTTTAGAAGGTAGGATGGGGATAGGAACAGAAATTAGAGAACTTTTCTCTATACCTCCACATACATTTTAAAGTTTGTATCATGAACTGAATTATCCAGACAAAAAAGTTTAAAAAAAAATAAAAGCATTATAATCCAAAGACCCCAAGTTTGAAAGCAACTAACATTCTATTATGCATATTAAATTTCAGGTGATTCAAATGGAAAATCAACTAGAATATTTTAAAAATATATTTCCACAGCTTTGGGAAACCTGGTCTTGAAGATGTGAAACATTTTTTTCCCCATGATTTGATTTAGCAATAAATCTCTTATCTGTCTTCCCAGATTAACTCCCAAGCTGGGGTCAAGGTCACACATACAAATAAAACTCTCTAGAAAGAGAAGCTTTTCAGAAAGCAGTTTCTTTACCAGGCTAGTAGGCCACTAAAAGATAGGCTTGTTGATCAGATTACAACAAACCAAACCCACTGCCGTCAAGTTGATTCCAACTCACAGCAACCCAACACTACAGAGCAGAACTGCCACACAGGGTTTCCAAGGCTGTAATCTTTACGGAAGCAGACTGTCACATCTTTCTCCTGCAAAGCGGCTGGTGGATTCGATCTGCCAACCTTTCGGTTAGCAACCAAGTGCTTTAACCACTGTGCCATGAGGGCTCTGGGTTACGACAACCAACCCTATTTTAAAAAAAAAGGCTTCTCTAGTCTTCCAGTACTTGTTAAGGAAATATTTCCTTACCAATAAAAGTGAAGCAAATAACCTGTCTTTGCACTGGAGAAAAGAAAGAGAATTTGATCTGAGCACTTTTAAGTCCTTGATCTTGCCATCAAGACCGGAAGTAAGGAGGGATACTTGGTTTCTAGTTTCAGTGCTGAAATTAATGCGCTGTGTGACTGTGAGTAAGTCACTCAACTCCTCTGGGCTGTTGGGATGTTGGAATATAAAATCTTTAAGATCCTTTCCAGCTGTAGGAGTCTTGGACATTAACTCTCTTCATCTGTTTCCAATACAAATAATTCAACCACCAAACAAGTTAAGAAATAAAGAAGGTGCTTCCTTACATAACAACGTCTTAGCTGTTAAACAAAACAAAAAACATAAAAAGACCCAGAAATAAAATGAAAAAAGAAGATATAAGATACTTCCCTCTCTCTACTTTTCCCACACCCCTACATTTTTTTAAAGCAGAATGTTATTTCCAGTAATATAGTCATCTGAATAAGTATTTAATGACGTTTTCAGAAGAATAATAAACGTAACCAGAAAATGCCAAGATCTTCTTTGATGACTCTGAGTTACAAAGTTCACGTTATTTGATATTACACATTCTAAAAGTATTTAATTAGCCTATCCCTGGGACATCCATACACAAAAAAGTCAACGATCCTTCAACTTCATTTCCAAAAAGAAAACAGCTATGCATTATCCCCCCACAGTGTGCTCGCTTTTCTGGGCGGCACGTGGTTGCCCAGCTACTTCCCACCCTCCTGTGGCTCGGCGGGGCTGGGATTATGTTCTCACCAACAGAGTGAGAGCAGGAGAGATGTACGGCGTCAACCCACTTGCCTAAAAGGCTCCTGCCAGCCTGCACCTTTGTTCCTCCACACCTACCACCTGGCTTTGCCCACAGAGACAAGGGCTGTCCCCTGGACACTAGAACAAGACGGGGAGGACTGGGTCCCTGCAAGATGATGACAAGCAGAGCCACCCACACCTAGACCCTTCACTGGAGAACTGTCACGCGTGACAGAACAAACTGTGTCTTCTCAGGTCACTGTCTCCCGGGCATCCGTAACAGCAGCTCGGCTTCTGCCCTACTGATACAGCGCAGTCTGAAAGGCGTCTACAGCTCTGCTCCCCACAATCACATCCAACTCCAGACCACACACTCCCAACCAATGGTTTCAAACCACAAAATAATCTAAACAGTCTGTAACAAATAGCACACACCAACTTAACAGCACGATTAATTAAAGATATCTTTTGCAAGGTGTTCATAAAATTGGATCTTAACTTCTAAAAGTAGTAGTATGGAAAAGAATACGAGAAAAACTTACCAAACGTGCCATAAAATCCTCTAGGTCCACAAGTCCCCACGCCATACTTTTTCAGAGATGCTAAAGCTGCTGCCTTTATAAAATTTAAAAAATTATATCTTAATAATTTACCTTTAAGAGTACAAAACTGACATTTCCTATTCTTTAACCTCCAAAGCTTCTTTCTTTCTTAGAACCATGACAATTCTAACAACAGGATTAAAAAAAAAAAAACAGATGTAAAGATTTAGGTATATAACTTAAAGTATAGGAAAGTTGTATTAGCTCGATTCTCAAAACCTGGTTCACCCAATGCCTTTGCCCTTCTTGCACTGCGCGCTTTATAAGGAAGTTTTTCCTCCAGGACGCTGACTAGCTCACCACAACAGCAAGAAGTGGGGCAATCTCCTCGTCACTTGTCAGACTACTAACCAGGTCTGGCTTGTACATTCCCCAGCTCTCACCAAACACGGACCCACGCTAGCCGCTCTTGCCTCCCTCTGCCCAAATCCAGACTACAGCTCTGTCAGACACAGAGTAACAGCAAACACTTACGCAGTCCTCTCTGACACTCTGCCATTTTTCTCTTATTTTATGCCCAGTTTAAGTCAGTCATGTTATCTGTCCACTTCAGCATTATGTGCTACTCACCTTTAGCCTGGGGTTATCCAACAATCCAAGAAAATTAAATGAGGCAAAGTTTATACATTCTTTTCCATTCACCACAATGTTGTGGCTTGGAGGGCTAGGGATAAAATGACAAAGAGTGGTATAATTCAACACACATTTATATTACAGGACACGTACATATTATATATTACACCATCCTGATTTCAGGAATGATCTGGAAACGTGATTCTATCCTACTTGCACAGTGATCTTTTCTGTCTTTTATCTCATACTGTTAAAAAGTAAAATTAGAAAAGAGTATATAAAACATTACTTTAAAAAAATCAAAACCAAACCCGTTGCCATCAAGTTGATTCTGACTCACACCAACTCTAAAGGAGAGAGCAGAACTTCCCCACAGGGTTTCCAAGGAGTGCCTGGTGGATTCGAACTGCCGACCTTTTGGTTAGCAGGAGTAGTTCTTAACCACTACGTCACCAGGGTTTCCAAAAAAAAACCCCAGTTACCCATCTGTTAATTCTATTCTTAATAGGCATATTCTTAACATTCTATACTATTTAAATAAATAATAATAAAAATAAAAAAAGCTATAATTCCAACGGATAAATAGTAAATCTTGCTTTGGTTTTAAAACTCACTTGAGAAGAAAATAGCTAAATAAAGTACCCCAGAAAATATCTGGAACAAGACAATCCAGAAGGAAAGACAACAAGATGAAGACCCAAGGCAAAAATAGGGACAGCGTATCAAGATCTGCCATAGCTAAGTGGTTTTAGAATAAATATTATCTACAGGAAACCACTAGAAGACTACGTGAAATATAATCCTCATTTCTATAATACCAGAATGGCGTTTAACAGCCACTCTCTACCTAGAAGCCATGACCAACTACCTGTCACTCAAGCAGATAAACTAAGAAACAGACTACTCTTAACAAACCCCCACAGAAGGACATAATAGAGAATACAGTTTGGAAACAAAGGAATGTTAACTCCAAAGTTGTTGTACCCTCAGCAAAGAAACTGATAAGTGAAAACAAGGAAGTGGTGATTCTCAAAAACAACACTCACTAGGGATGTAAAAGAAGGGAGAACTAAATACCACACAACAACATCATAAAGGACGGCAGGGTGTGAGGGCGGGGTGACGGGTGATGGCGGGGTGTGAGGGCGGGGTGACGGAGGACGGCAAGGTCTTTTCAACTGCCTCACGCCTGCGAAAGCACTACAATAAAAAGGGAAGAATAAAAAATAACTGATACATTTGAACTGTGGTGTTGGCGAAGAATAGTGAAGAGACTAAAGACTGCCAAAAAAATGAAGAAATCTGTCTTGGAAAAAGTATAGCCTGAACGCTATACTTCCTCTCACACCCTTTCGACATGTTAGGAGGAGGGATCAGTCCCTGGAGAAGGAAATCATGCTTGGTAAAGTATAGGGTTAGCGAAATAGAGAAAGACCCTCAATGAGATGGATTGACACAGTGACTGCCAACAATGCAACAGTTGTGAGGATGGTGTGGGACTGTGCAGTGTTTCGTTCTGTTGTACATAGGTCACTATGAGTCAGAATCAACTTGACGGCACCTAACGACATTCTGAACAACAACAAATAAAATTATACATAAAATAGAAAAAATGTCCAAGAAAGGAAATGGAATGACAGTATTGGCTGACTTCATGAATAACACTAATGTTGGCATAAACAAGTAAACACTCAATAATCTGTATCTAAGGCAGATTATGCCAGAACTGACTCTGTCGGGGAAAAGGGAGGGACAAGTTCCCTGCATGAAACTGGTTTCCTGGGCACCCTGTTGAGGGTGCAAAGGGAAGTGCACCACAGCCCAAGCGCCTTATCAGCCTGCTGCTTTTTCTGGAGGAAAGCACTTTTTCAAATCCACACAAAGGCACCACAGGGGCTGCTGGGAACTGGGGACACCAAGCATGCGTGTTTTTAGACAGCCAGTCCTTATCTCCTACAATTCATGGATAAAGAATAAAAAAAAAAAAAAAAAAAAACCTCAAGAAATAAGAGCATAAACAAGTTCCTTAAAGAAAAAAAAAAAAAAACACTAAAGAAATAGAAAGCAATTATTTCTAGAGAGTGGGGTGAGGAGGCACGGCATGGTGGATTGCAGTTTTTTGTCATAAAAATTTTAAGCTATGCATATGCAGACGTGTTTAAAAGAATCTATCAGTGTAATTTAATATAGTAACTGAGTGAGGAGAAATGCCACATGATCATCTCAGTAGAGACAGGGAAAGCATTTGATAAAATACCCTGACTTACAAAACAAAAAAGTTCCCTCAGCAAAACAGGAAGAGGAAGGAACACCCATAACTCAATAAAGGTTGTCTCTTACGAACCATCAGGGACAGGACAGGGAGGCCATTATCGTCACTCCTGTTCAACACTGTATCCAGTGCAGGAAGACGAGGAAAAGCGATAAAAAACGCTCCTCCTAATAGAGACAAAAACTCTAAGGCACCTCGAGATGAATCTATTAAAAGATATACAGTCAATGTCAACTTCCTGGTGGTGATATTGCACTACAATTATGCAAGATGTCACACCACTGGAGGAAACTGGGTGAAGGGTAGATGGGATTTCCCCGTAGTATTTCTTATGACTGCATGTGAACGTAGAAATACTCCAAAATAAAAAGTAAAAAGAAAAGATATGCAAAACGTTTATGGAGAAAATTACCGTTTTACAGCAGGACATACAAGTGACACACCATGCGTGCGAGAGTGGTAGCAGCAAGATACCAACTCTCCAAATTAAGCCATAAACTCATCGCCTTTCGAATTACAAAGCCAAATCCCTTTTCGTTTTTGGTCAAATTTGATCAGCGAAACCTAAACTCATAGTGAAGAATAAAGAATGACCTAGACAGTTGGGAAGCACAAGACAGTAGGACTCACTCTCGTCAAGGGTTATTATAAAGCTACGGTGTTTATATGAATAAGGTTCTGGCACAGGGAGGGACAAATACACCAAGAGAAAAGAGAGAAAAGCCAAAAGAGACCCTTGATAACAGAGCCTGGTATACCACAGAAGGGAGATTGCCAATCGGCAGGTAAAGAATGGGCTGTTCAACTAATAATGCTAGTACAACTGACCACCACATGGAAGACAGGACCTTTGGGGTAGGGAAGGATTTAAGAACGGTAAGTTTAACTCAGTTAACATGTCAAACTCTTGTAAGACTGAAGATATCTGTGGAAGCTTCTCTTAGATCAGATCAGAAGTAGCAGAACGATACCTTTAGCATATCCTGTATCACATTTGCAACAAAATACTAATTATTTTCATGGCTACAGGTATATGTGCTTAAAAGTATAAATAAAAGCAAGGGGAAAACATCCACCACTTCAAGATAGTGGTCACCTTGTGTGAGAGGCAAGAGGAAGGGGTTTCTTTAGTTGTATCTGTAATGTACTTCTTTTTAAAATTAGATTTGACATCAATATAGCAAAATGTTAATGCCTCTTAATTCTGGATGGCAGGCACCTAAGCGACATTTTCTGTATGCTTAAAACACTTAGTTTAAAAACTAACACATATGACAAAATGAAGATAATCAACAGAACTAAAAACCAAAGTAGATCAGCCATTGGGAACAGGAGGAAGAGAGCATAAGTGAACTGAAGTTTCATAATTCATACTGTAGGGCTCAACAGGTGTTACCCATCAAGAAACAGCAGTGTAAGCATACTATTAATATCTAGAACTATGAGGGTAACCTATGACAGACCTAAAATCAGAAACAAATAACGTGGGGGGAAAAAAACCTGTTGCTTTTCATTTTTCATTTTAAGTGTTTCTGACCATTTAAAATATTACTATGTACAGGCATTAATGGCGGAGGGGGGGAGGGCTAACTTTAATTCCCAAGTTGGGGACTTTAAAATACAACCATTCCATCTCTTAAAAATACATTTGGAACTAAAGCAGTCAGTTTCTGACCTCCAGAAATTTCTAAATGTTTTATTTCAATCAAAAAGGAATACTGCATGAACCACTATGTACTCTGGCAACTATACCTCCAGAAAACCAAACACAAGTCCTCTGAGCATCAAAACGGATTTACCCTGACACAATGTTGTAGTTGAGAGCAGGATGGTCTTTGGAGATGGGAGGAACCAGAGGTTCTGGCTGCCACTCTTCAATCAGCTCTTCCTTTTCCTACGGGAGAAGAGGAGTTAGAACGGAGCACAGAGCTAGTCACTCCATCAGCTCCAGCAACCATTTAACTGTTTGTTGTCATGGAACCAGAAGAAATACGCCACTAGAAACACTTGGTCTAGCTGTTGTGGCTAGAGAGGAAACAGAATCAATATTGAGTTCTGTGAATGAACATCCTCACCTCTTTCCTCATCACAAGCTAAGAGTCATTTTCCATGAAGACTTTTGTGGGTAACTTGAAAGTTGGAGAAAATTTTATTTCTATGTTCAGGAGTTTTCAACGTGTGAAGTAGGATGTGTAACCGCTACTGAGTGAGAGTAAGCAAAAAGAAAGTCCGAAACACAAAGGTAAGAAGCCCGGCTTCAGGTCAGTGAGCTCAGCCTCTATTCCCAGCTATTAAAGACACATCACACCCTAAGTTCTTACTGAAGTGACTGTTATGTGAAGGGATCCACCAGATCACAAAGTCCCGTTTCTATAAGCCATCTTCAGGGATTTAGAGGTAGCTGAAATATACAAAAGGCTCTTTTATAATAACTACTGCAGTGGAATTGTTTTGAAATTTCTCAAAAAATCCACCATGTTATACCTTTTACCTTTACTTTATGCATTACAAGCATCTTGACTATTTTGAGTTTCTTGTGCTACAACAATGGGCTCAAGCGTAACGACTGTGAGCATGGCGCAGGACCAGGCAGTGTTTCGTTCTGTGGTACACAGGTCGCTCTGAGTCAGAACTGACTCGACGGCACCTAACAACAACATCCTTTCTTAAACAAATCAGAGAAAAAATTCTGAAAATGTCATGTGAATATACAGGGTGAGATGAAGCAATTAAATTAACCTGACAGCTACAGCAAGTTTTACCCTATAGATACAACCCGCTCCTTAGAGTTCTAGTTCAATATTTTTGTTAAATGCTTATGTGCAATTTTTTTCCTGACAGTTTTCTCCAGGGCAGGGCCAAGAATGTATTCACCTACCACTTGGGCAAGCAAAAATGTTTGCTGAATAAATCAACCAATAAATTTCCCACCTGTTTCTACCAACAACTCCATAAAGAAAACCAGGAGCCCACAGAAGGCCAGGAAAACAACACACAACAATACTAGCTACTGTGAAGACAGATGTTAAAATCAATTCAAGACCCCCTGACATTCAAGGGACTCTGCAGACCTATAAAACCGAGAAGGGCATTTCTTCTATGCTGCTACAAAGATAAGCTTTAAAAACACTCAAACAGTCTTTTTTTTCTTCCACAGCTATTAGGGTAAGATGTCAGTAATTACTGAATCTTGCTCTAGCTATGTTTTGCTTTCAGAGATCATTCTAAAATTGTTTAGCTATCATCCCTTTAAAATGTGCCTATGTGTGGAATGATACGCTCAAACTCAAAATGAGAGTATTAGGAATGATCAACCCCTTAAAATGTTGGGCTAGGAATCCATTTTATGGCCACATCATCATTCACAAGTTCCTGAATGCTGAGGGAAGAAAAGTAGAGACAGGATTCCTCGTGTGGACAGCCCGATCCTACTGCAATGCTATCGAAAGAGTGTTCCATGGTGTGCTAATCCCACAAGGTATGCCTCATCATAAAAGAAAAGAATTTATGGACAAGTTTAGGGCATTCCTCCAAGTAGAGACTTAAATGTCCATGAGGTATTAAATGCTAAAAGAAAATCATACAATAAGAAATCTGTTTCACTCTGCTTTAACCAGATTTCCAAAATTTATTTGCCCTAAGAACCATTTTGCTGCATAATTACTATTAGCATAGCTCCCCAAGGGGACACTGCCCGACTGTCTACTGATACATATAATGATCAGGACAGCAGTGGTCACAGTCGGCGAAGCCCTGAAAACAATTACGCTGCATTGGCACTTTCTCCTGTGAATCCTCCAGGAAGTAAAAAAGCCCCAGTGCTCCATCTCTGTGCCACACTCCATGCTGCCTTGTGTTCCACAATGAGGTTTTTATGGGAAAACATCTCTTGGAAGGATTCTGTCGCAAGGCGATGGGGGCTGGATAGGGCACCAGTCCGAGCCACAGACACCACACTGTCGTCACACCTGCTCCTCCCCTCCTGCGTCTGGGGCAATCACTGGACAGGGCCAAGCGCTTCTAACCTGAGTCAGCCGGCAGGCTTCTTCCCCAGAAGCCTCCTGAGTCCCTCACACTAACAGATTCCAAGCAGGCAGCTCCACAGAACCCTCCCGCCACTTCTGCTCCCTAACAGAACGCGTCAATACTCTATTTGGGGGCTGGGGAAGGATTCTTTCCAACCTCAAACCTGCTTTATGAAGTCCACAGGGAAAATTTTCCCTCAGGCATAAGAAAGAGCTGTGCTTTTTGCAAGCAACTCACATAATCTCACACACGGCAATTCTAAACCCAGAAGTTGTTCGTGCTGTCCACTCTGCACAAAGCACCACAGGATCATGACATGGCATTCATTTAGGTATTTACTTTATCCCCCGATGGCACTGTGTTCTGCCTGCCCTCATATTTCATTCCCCTCAATTTCCTCACATTATAAAAACAAATTTTAAGGCATATAATTGAGCCACCACAAGTCCTTTTTTGGAAAGCCATAGCAACTGTAATCATATATCAAATAAAATAGAAACTTGATTTGTTACCTTGACTGTAAGATCCGAGTGTTCTTGTAATTTGTAAGTTTTAGAGAAGAGAAGTCTGATTATCCAGAGTATTAGAATTCCTTCCAAAATAAGATGGTAAGCAGGAGCCTAAAAGGGAGTTGAAAACAGAACGAAAAATGAAACAACGCTTCCAAAACCTGTGCAGAAAGTTCAGTGCACCCACATGCTCGGCCTCCTGTGACCTTTAACCTACAATTCTCACAGTTTACTCTCGAGGTTCTTCTCATTTCTACTCACTCCCTTCCCTGTTCTTAACAGTAGGTAATTTCTCCTATGTAAGAAAAGCTTCTAATACTGCAGTTTTAAAACAAAAGCAACTATCAGACCTTTCCGGGAATTTACATTTTTACTGGCGGGAAATGACTGTAACAAAACATTTCACAGCTTAATAAGCCTTCTACCACCCATTTACCCTTGGATGAGTTCAGAGAGTTATTTGGAAACTAGTTTCCACAATTCTTAAAAGTTTTTACACATCTTACTATATTTTCTGTGTCTTTGGTAAGCAAACCTCTTTAAATCCTTCTTGGAATACGTCACAGAAAAAAAGACTTCAGAAATGCTTCAAGGAATAGCGCATCTCTTATCTACCATGTTGCCTAAAAGTATGTCGTGTTTTTTCTGGCAACAGGCTTAAACGTATGTCAACGAAATTATCCATCTCCGGTCTTAATTTCAAGTGGAAGTTTCCAGGCTAAAGGCCAGGCTGATTTTTATGTTCTGTACAACAAGACATACCAAGTGCACGTGGAAGATCCCACGTATCAACTAAAACCCCAGCCAGTCAGTTAGGGGGTGCTCTACTCCAACAGTTGTCACTGGAAGCTCATTTAAAGAGGCGTTTCAAAATTTAACACAAATTATTTTCAAACACTAGACAGAAAGGAAGTGATGACGATTCAGCATAGTTTAAAAAACATCCAGAATTTGCAGACTTCGGGAAATGGCTGACAAGTCATATGTAAACTTCCAAGTCAATGCACAAACAACTTTAAAACTACATTATGCGTCACATACATGCATGCATGCATACACACACAGTTATTCTTTTTCCAGCATACTGTGCTATGGTACAGAAGACTCTTTAAAATCTAGATACAAAGTGCGTAGAATTTGGGAATAAGAACAGAAAGCTCTTTAATATGATTTGTGCCTGGCCCCCTTGAATCTAATTCACTTAGGAATAAAGACTCTGGTCTAAATACCCTTTTGGTTTTCTCAAAAGTTGGAATTCTAGCAGGCAAATATCTGCCACAGTAAACTCGTTAAGCATTGCACTCCACAAAGAAATCATCCAAGCAAAGGTGAAGAGACTACTTGTTCAGTGAATTATTAAAAATTACAAATGCTGCTCCTTTTCCTCCCCAGGAATACAGGAGGACTTCTCACAAGCCTCACTCTTGGTTAGTTTCATTGTATCATAAAGTACATCGTTAAACAGTCTTCGAAAAGTGAGCCAACAGTACATTACAGAAAGTGAATGGAAAAGTCTAAAAAAAAAAAAAATTCAATTTTAGTGGCTCTTATCTTAGTCACTACCATTAACCTAATGTTGGATGTCACTTTAACAATACGTGAGTATAGGAGAGAGCCTTCACTCTCAACCATTTTTCAAGAAAAAATTCTTGCAATGGAGGACACCATCATTATCCCTGCCAGTAAACAGCAAAGTAACTTTTAAAAAGATTTTCAGAAGAAAAGTGAAATTCCCTTTGAATGAGTGTAAGCTTTATATAAGCATAGGGACTTCTGCGTGTTTATTCACTGTAACTATCCCTAGAGTCTAGATCTGTTATCCATACCGTGGCCACTAGTCACATGCAGCTATTTAAACATACCTTTAAATAAAATAAAAAATTCAATTCCTCAGTTGCACTAGCCACATTTCAAGCGTCTAATGGACACATGTATACTGTAATGAACAGCTCAGATAAATACAAGTACACACTGTCTAGAACAAAATAGAATTTCAGCAAATATTTGTCAAATGAATGAACATCCTCTAAGACCGACATTTTGATTTCATACTAACTTACATACCTGAAATCCCTAGCCTTTCAAAAAAGTCTTAACTACTCTTCCTTTAAACATCTACTAAAACACGACCATCAAGGACCGCCCTGACAGGAAACACATCAGGGAGTCCCAGATGGAGCAGCAGAAAGATGGGGTGCAGAACTCAAATTCTACCAAGAAGACCAGACTTCATGGTCGGAGACTGGAGGAACCCCGGAAAGCATGGCCCCTGGATTCTCTATCACTCCAGAACTAAAACAATTTCCGAGGCCAACTCTTCAGACAAGGACTGGACTGGACTGGACTGTGGGACATAAAGCGATACTCGTGAGGAGTGTGCCTCTTAGCTCAAGTAGATACAAGAGACTAAACGGGCAGCTTCTATCCGGAGGTGAGATGGGAAGGCAGAGAGGATTAGGAGCTGGTTGAATGGACATGGGGAATCAGGGGTGGAAAGGAGGAGAGTGCTGTCACAGTACAGGAAGAGCAATTAGAGTCACATAACAATGTAGGTATGAATTTTTGTATGGGAAAAAATTAAAAAATTTTAAAAAATCTACTAAAAGAGTTGGATCTTTATAAGATAGAAAACAGGACGTATGCGGAAGAAGGACAAACTATTTCATATTAGTAAATCCTAAATAATGCGGCTTCTTTTCTAACCCGCACCCCCGACAAAAACGGACTCCAATTTATTATAATTCTGTCCTCCATTAACTACTAGAAATCGTGGTGGCTGTAGTGATTTAGAGCTAAGGCTGCTAATCAAAAGGTCGGCCGTTCGAATCCACCACACTCCTTGGGAATCCAATGGGGCAGTTCTACTCTGTCCTTTAGGGTCGCTATGAGTCGGAATCGACTCGACCGCAATGGGTTCGGTTTGGTTTTGGTATTAACTACTACACAGTTCCAAAGACCTGACTTCCCTAAGACCTCCCTAGACTGGGATTTTCCACTCTATTTTCACCACACCCTTCTTACTGTCAGTCCCAACTCTGGTTTTTGAGGGCCAGGCTCTCTCTTGCGCCCCAACAGGACACGGGTCCCTTCCCTCCCCCAACCTTACATTCGCCTCTGGGACTGTGTGCGCCCGGGAGCCCGTCCAGAGAGGGACGCCGAGTCAGGGCGTGACCGAGTCAGCCCCGCCGAGGCCTCAGACTGCAAATCCACACGAGCCACCACATCCTTCCCAGGGCCAGGGGCGGTCGTGGGCCGACGAGCCGCGCAGCTCACCTCGTACACCGCCTGGACCATTTCCACCAGGACCCACTGCTCCGTGGCGGTCTCCATAGTCGCCCGCGGGGGCTTCCTTCCGGAAGGCGGATCACAGAAACGTCAAAAAGTGCGCGGCGCGGCCCAGTGACGTCTTTGCGCCTGCGGGGTCGGAGTGTCCGCGTGGTGCGCACCGCCTCCTGGCGCTTGCGCACTGAGCGGCCGAAGGCTGGGCGGGAAGGAAAAACGCCGGGCGCTGTAATGGCGTATGTGTTCACTTCAGGGTCACACTAACCCGACGCCGGGGGTTGAAGGCGGTGAGATTGAACGGGAAAGTTCGTCTCACTCTTACCACCTCTCCATTAGTTGCTGGGCCCCGCGCCGGACTCTCGGGATGGAAAGATTAATAATAAACGACTGAAAGTGTTGTTAAGGTAATGACAACCATAGTATATACTCTTAAATTACATGAGTAATCCATGAATGTACTGCCATAAAAAAAAAATACAAAAATAGCCCACTCATATAGCACTTACTATGTGTCGGGCACAGGCTAAGGCTTCACATATTAAATCATTTAGCGTCTTGGTGTGGAACCTTCTAGAGACATGTGCTTGCAGACATATACGATTGTCCACACTCTGCCTTGAATTGGATTTTTTTACATGTAACTGGGAACATAGGAACGATATCGTTCTACAGCTTGCTTTTCTCACTTTTTCTTGTAGGTTTTTTTTCTGTCCACATATGTTGTATTCTTTTGAATCGCTGAAGACTATTTCTCAGAATTGTGTCTAATATATATTTCTTGTTCCATTGTATGTAAACATTTCCCCGTTAATGAACACTTAGGTTGTTTCCGCTTTTCCCCCTATTACAAACAGGGCTGCCATCAGCATCCAGTTGTGAAATCCCTTTCTGTCAATATTGAAGTATTTCTGACTAGTTTTCTCAAAGTGGAGTTTTATTCAAAGAATATGCACATTATTAATGTTGCTAAATACCGCCGCCGTAAAACCGGTGGCCTTCACGTCGATTCCGACCTACAGCTCTTGAGTAGAACTGCCCCACAGGGTTTCCAAGGAACTGCCGGCCTTTTGTTTAGCAGCTGTAGCTCTTAACCACTGCCCCCAGGGTTTCCAAATACTGCCATACTTACTGCTCTCCAAAACACCTCAAACAATTTAAGTTGTATGAAAGTTTATCCACACTCTAGCCAATGAAGGATATTATCAATTAAAAAAATAATTTTTTTGCCAATTTAGTGCAAATAAAATTATACACCAATTAGGTATTTTCCATTCCTCTGATTATTACGAGGTCGAGCAACTTACATGTTTATTGGCACTTGGAGTCCTTCTATGAATCACCAATCATATTATTTGCTCATTTTTCTATTGGTTATTTTTTCTTATTTATAGTAGCTCTTTATACATTCTGAATATCTTATATTTTCTTGTTTTGTATGTGACGATTATCTTTGCCCAGGGTTTGTCTAGTTTTTTATTTTATGTCCTATCTACATTTTAAATTTTATGTCATCTGTCAGTCTTTTATTGACTTTGGGTACGTATTTTGCTTAGAACGGCCATCTCTATTGCAGGGTTATAGAACACCTATGTTTTCCTCCAAAACTTGTAAAGGTTTGCTGTTGTTGTTTACAGTTAACTCTGGTTATTCTGGGAATTTTATTTTTGTTTGATGAGAGGCGTGAACCTTAATTATTTTTTTCTGAAAGAATAACAGATTTTCCCAATATCATTTATTTGAACAATCCTGACTGTCCCTGATAATGCGAACAAGCACCTGTACTATGTGTTGTATTTCCAGGTAGAATTGGCACTACGTAGCAGGTGACGTCAGTGCTCTACCCACACCTCCCTGGGTCCATGATTGTACATGATGCCTCCCGTGGTTCTTTCGCAACAGCTGGCACCTGCATTTTCCAGAAGCCTGTCTTCAGGCTGCTAGAAGCCATTTTTCTTGCCCTCATGGAGAGTTAGAGGTGTCTGAGAATTTATGTTCTCTCCTGTGTAGCCCTTAACTGGACAGATGACTGATGGTTGCTGGGATATAAGTATTGTACCTCCCTTGTTCCTTTGTTTTCCTAGGTGTTGACTGGGGACCTATCTCAGTTCTTAAGAGGCCACCGTCAGGTCCTTGCCATGTGGCCCTGTCCTCTCACAACTTAGTAGCTTACTTCTTAAAGACCAGCAGGAGATTGTCTATGGTTTTGCATTTTTCTCTTTAGGAAGGGCCCAGTTTTAAGGGTTCACCTAATGAGGGCAGACCTACCCAGGATAATCTCCCTCAAACTCCACTGATTGGTAGCCTAATCACAGAAGTGAAATCCAATCACATTCATAGGTTCTACCAGCACTCATGAGAAGGAGATTATTATAAAGGACATGTACATTGGGAGGCATGAATTTTAGGATTCTGCCTACCACACAGCTTTGTAGATAAGTTGTTGTTTTCCCCTCTGTTTAAGTATAAAGATTGTTAGATTTCTGCTTATTCTTGGTGATCTGAAGTTTAGGATGTTTCCAGATGTGAGGTCCCTGACTTGGGACGTATTCGAGTTATGAGGAACCACATTTACAGCCTTCAGTGGAACAGCTCATAGGTAACAAAGAAGGGGACTTGACAGATCAGGACTTAGTGGATTTTGAAAAGGAAAGAAATACTGAAGAAGAAAGAAATGATGAGGAAGAGGAAGGAGAGAATTTGTCAAAAAATTTTACAGTGACAGGATTAGCCAGAGTTTTTTCTCGATTAAATCAGGGGTTCTAGTTGCTTGAAAACACGGACCCAAATGCTGATCGCTTTGCTAAAGTCAATAGGCAGATTCAAGAAGCAGTGAGATGTTACTGCAAAATATATGAAGAAAAAAAGAAAAGGACCATATGGACAACTCTCACTAATTTTCTCACTAGAAACACCATCCTCATTCCCAAAGATAATCCAGATGATCCAGAACCTTCCACAAGTGGAGTTATTACTGCAGCTGACAAAATACCAACATTGTCCAACTCTTCATCATTGGAGTAAATTGTTATGATTTGTGTATTTTTTTAATGTATATATGCAGTAAAATATGTATGTAAGTTTATATTGTAATGGTTCCAACCCCCAAAGATGAATAAAGATGGGATTTATGAGGATACTGATAATAAAAGGCAATAACAATGAAAACTAAAAAAAAAAAAATGAGGCATTCAACTTACGTCAGAACTAACTTACAACCGAGTCACTGGAACAGAGTTCTGTTGTAAGTCGGAGACTACCTGTACTTTAAAAAATATATATTTACTGAATTATAATTCACATGCCAAAAAACTTGCCCATTTAAAGCGTACAATAAATGGCTTTTTAGAATATTCACAGAGTTCCACAGCTATCACCACTATCTTAGTTTAGAACGTTTTCATTATTCCAAAAAGAAAATCTGTACTGATTAATAGTCACTCCTCATCCCTCCTGCTCCCGGCACTGGGCAACCACTAATCTACTTCCTGTCTTTGTAAATTTACCTATTCTGGATATTTCATATAAAAAGAATCATAAAATGCGTGGCTTTTTGTGTCTGGCTTCTTTTCACTTAGCATAATGTTTTCAAGCTTCATTCACGTTGTAGCGTGTGTCAGTATTTCGTTCCTTTTTATGGCTGAATAATATTCCGTTGTACAGATACACCCCATTTTGTTTATCCATTCATTAGTGGATGGACACTTGGGTTGTTTCTACTTTTTGACTTATGAATAATACTGCTATGAACATTTGTGTACAAGTTTTTGTATAGACATCTGTTTTAATTTCTGTTGGGTATATCCCTGGGAGTGTAATTGCTGGATCATGTGGTAGTTTTATCTTTAACATTTCGAGAAACTGCCAACCTCTTTTCCAAAACAGCTGCACCATTTTACATTCCCACCAGCAATGGATGAGGGTTCCAGTGTCTCCACATCCTCACCAACACTTGTTATTTTCCATTTTCTTGATTATAGTCATCCTTTGGGTGTGAAATGGTATCTCATTGTGGTTTTTATTTCAATGTCCCTAGTTACAATGGGTTGCTAACCAAAATGGAGCCCTGGTGGCGCAGTGGTTAAGTGCTCAGCTGCTAACCGGAGGTTAGAATGCACCAGCCACTCTGCGGGAGAAAGATGTGGCAGTCTGCTTCTGTAAAGATCTATAGACTTGGAAACCCTATGGGGCAATTCTGCTTTGTCCTATAGGGTCCCTATCACTAGGAATCGACTGGACAACAAGGGGTTTTGGTGGTTGCCAGTTTGAACCCACCCAGCAACTTCACAAAGATAGGCCTGGCGATCTGCTTCTGTAAAGGTTACATCCAAGAAAGCCCTATGGAGCAGTTCTCTGCGTGTCAGGGTTGTTTCCTTTCACCAGACTTATTCAATTGCATGCATATGAGGCGATTGAAAATACCATGGCTTGGGTCAGGCGTGCCTTAGTCCTTAAAGTGACGTCTTTGCTTTTAACACTTTACCGAGGTCTTTTGCAGCAGATTTGCCCAGTGGGATGCGTCATTTGATTTCTTGACTGCTGCTTCCATGTGTGTTGATTGTGGATCCAAGTAAAATGAAATCCTTGACAACGTCAGTCTTTTCTCCGTTTATCATGATGTTACTTATTGTTCCAGTTGTGAGGATTTTTGTTTTCTTTCTGTTGAGGTGTAATCCATACTGAAGGCTGTAGTGTTTGATCTTCATAAGTAAGTGCTTCCAGTCCAGCAAGCAAGGTAGTGTCATCTGCATAACAGAGGTGGTTGATGAGTCTTCCTCCAATCCTGATGCCCCGTTCTTCTTCTTGTAGTCCAGCTTCTCGAAGTATTTGCTCAGCATACAGATTGAATAAGTATGGTGAAAGGATACAACCCTGATGCCCACTTTTCTGATTTTAAACCACACAGTTTAAACAACTGTTTCAACAACTGTTCGAACAGCTAGCTGCCTCTTGGTCTGTGTTCAGGTTTCACATGAGCACAATTAAGTGTTTCGGAGTTCCCATTCTTCACAATGTTAACCATAATTTGTTGTGACTCACACAGTCAAATGCCTTTACATAGTTAATAAAACCCAGGTAAACATCTTTCTGCTATTCTCTCCTTTCAGCCAAGATTCATTTGACATCAGCAATGATATCCCTCATTCCACATCTTTTTCTGAATCTGACTTGAATTTTTGGCACTTCCCTGGGATGTGCTGCTGCCGCTGTATGCAGCTTGGACCTCTTCCTTCAGTACCATGGGTTCTTGATCATATGCTACCTCCTGAATTGGTTGAAGGTCGACCAGTTCTTTTTTGGTATAATGCTCTGTGTATTCCTTCTGTCTTCTTTTGGTGCTTCCTGCATCTTTCAATATTTTGCTCGTAGAATCCTTCAATATCGCACTCAAGCCTTGAATTTTTTCTCCAGTTCTTTCACTTTGAGAAACGCTGAGTGTGTTCTTCCCTTTAGGTTTCCTAACTGCAGGTCTTTCCACGTGTCATTATAATACTTTACTTTGTCTTCTCGTGCCACCTTTTGAAATCTTCTGTTCACCTCTTTTACTTCAGTAAAGTGCCTAACACAGTATAGAAAGCCCCATACTAGTTACACCAGTATCAACTTAAAGAATAATGGGAGCGATAAAAGCTCCCAAAACTTTCAATGGGGAGAAAAAGGGTATGTTACAAAAAAAAAAAAAGAAAAAAAAGATATGATCAGGTAGAATAATGGCCTCAGACTTCTCCTTAGCAGTATTAGAAATCAGACAGTAGGCAATGCCTTCAGATGTCTAATAGAAGTGATGTCCAGCCAAGGATTCTATACTGACCTAAACTATCAGTATTAAAAGTAGAATAAAGGCAGGCAATGCACATCTAGAACAGATTAGGTTAAGCTGCAGTAACAACCAACCTGCAGATCTTTGTGGCTTGTAACAATAAAAGTTTATTTCTTGCTCATGCTAACACTCTGTAAATTAGAGATGGGGGGGTCTGCAACACGTCTCCCTTTTTCATGACCCAGGTACAGTGCTATTACTTTTGTATGTGGTCTTTCTAGCCATGGTCTTGTAACTCCTACCCAGGTGGTTGTATGATAGGGTAATTGCGGCCTACTAAGGGGACTGGTCAGTTTTGCCTTAAAAGAGAGCCAATTCCAGAGCAAGGAGGAGACCACTACCACCAAGGAAGGAGAGACCCAGCAGCAGGAGACTGCGAGGTGGGCTTCCCGGCCCACAGAGAGAGAAAGCTAAGTGCTTTTGGGCAGAGACTGAGGGCCAGGGAGAGGCATGCCTGCAAGCACCACTGTGGAGAGGCTGTCCTGATGGAAGAACTGTATCCTGAGTGTTCCTGAGCCTAAATTGTAATTGTTAAACTCTATAACTGTGATTATGGTGTGTAAGTTCTGTGTGGCCACTGCAGTGAATTACCAAATCCAGTAGAGAGTGCTGTGGGAGGGATGGTTGTTGTCAGAAGTGGTAGAGATGGTGGAGAGAGGAGGCATGTCTGACCTCCACCTCATAGGAATCAGCCTTGGGCTGTTGATCTTGGTTCTCCTTCCCTCTTGTGGTGTTGGAGGAGGTCAGACACCTCCCGCATGCCATTTTTACACCAGGCTAATAAAACATCCACCGTCTTCATTATTAACTATCATGTGTCAGAGAAAAAGCTCTGTGGAGTGTCACACTGGCAATTAAGTGCTCTGGCATGGAAGTGACATGTCATTTCTACTTACACAGCCAGGAAGTTAATCTTATCCCATGTCTGGAAAACAGAGTCATAAATATTCGTGAATAGCACTAATGGCTACCACACAAGTTCTTAAAATTTTGTCTTCCATGCACCCTTTCTCCAGAAAATCCTGGGTTATGTGCTGCTTCCAAATAAGTAAGCAAAGCAAGAAAGAAGTTAGCCTGGGAGATCTCACACAGAAAAGAAGGGAAGGGAATGAAGCTGTGGAGAAAGGCTAAAGTGTGGCCAAGCCGATTGGATTCAGGGTATGGAGGGCTCCATAAGGAACGGGCATAAACCAAAAACCAAACCCCTTGCCGTCGAGTCGATTCTGACTCATAGTGACCCTATAGGACAGAGTAGAACTGCCTCAGGGTTTCCAAGGAGCGCCCAGTGGATTTGAACTGCCAACCTTTTGGTTAGCAGCCGTAGCTCTTAACCACTACGCCACCAGGGTTTAGGAATGGGCATAAGCAGGGGAAAATGGAACTGATTATGTAATTGGTTCGTGTGCATGGAAAATTGGATTGGGAGAGATTTTAAAATTTGTGAGAAGACCTTGCCAAAGATTCAAGGAAAACCAAGCATATTAGTAAAAAGAGGTGATTAAATCCAGGAGAAAGATTACAGATAGGAAATGCAATCGCTAATTTTCTCTGCAGTCAACAGCACTTATACAAAGTCATAATAATTAAAACACTAGAAATGCACTTAATCAAAAAATTTGGTAGCACTGTATTGAGAGAATGGGAGCAGGGAAAATGTATGTAAGAGAAGAGACCTAAGTCTTTATCTTCTATATGGTAAGTTGTTAATGAACAATAGCTAAAACTAAATGTTGTCAACAGCACTATAGCATGCTGTGTAAAAACAGGAAATTGTCAGAAGAAATAACTAAACAAAATTGACGTCTTTTGGAAGTGGCAATCTGGCTTGGGTAAGTGTGGGCCAGGGATTAATTTTTCGCTATGAACTTTGTACTATTCAAATTCTTATATGACTTCTTAAACTATAACCAAACTCAAAACCCACTGCTATCGAGTCGATTCCGACTCATAGCGACCGCATAGGTCAGAGTAGAACTGCCCCATAGAGTTTCCAAGGAGCGCCTGGTGGATTCGAACTGCTGACCTTTTGGTTAGCAGCTGTAGCTCTTAACCACTACGCCACCAAGGTTTCCAAATATGTACTACTTGGATAAAAATTGAAATGAAACCGAAGTTAGATCTTTAATTGTCCAATTGTAATATTTTAACTGGTATGTTTAGCATTTTTTGCAGCCTCCTGTTCTTGGTGATTTACATGTGGAGTGGCGTCTTATTGTGGGTGGGAAAGGATCTCTGTTTGGATTTAAAGTCAGCTTGCCAGTGTAATAAAACTAACTCTGAAACATTTTTAAATTGCCCATAAAACATACAGTTTTGTATACGCACTCTTAAATCCAGCCCTGCAACTCTTCCTTAGATAATGTTTCTTAGGGACCCTCAATTAATTATTCATATTTTTGTTTAAAAAAAAAAAAGCAAACCCGTTGCCGTAGAGTCGATTCCTACTCATAGCAACCCTATGGGACAGTAAAACTGTTAGCATTTAGTGAATGGAAATTTGTTGGACCAGTGAAGACCCTCCTCACTGTCGTTACTGAAAACTGCGCCAATGATTGTTAAGAAAGTCAGTTCAAAATGTAGGATCACAGTTTCTAGCCAGTCTGTGAAAAGGTGAAGCTTTCAGTGGTTTTGCCCATTTGTAATGTTAATGCATACTGATGGCTAATATTCTTTGGACTCGGGCAGTCATGGCTCTAGCAGCATGCTTGTCCGTTTTCCCACATTTGTCTGTTCTGTGATATTTCCTTGGACTGGGGCAGACATGGCTGTGGCAGCACGCTTGTCCGTTTTCCCACTCTCGCCTACTCTGTAATGTTCTTTGCACTCAGGCAGACATGGCTGTGGCAGCATGCTTGTCCGTTTTCCCACTCTTGCCTGTTCTGTAATGTTCTTTGCACTCAGGCAGACATGGCTGTGGCAGCATGCTTGTCCGTTTTCCCACTCTTGCCTATTCTGTAATATTTTTTGGACTCGGGCAGACATGGCTGTGGCAGCACGCTTGTCCGTTTTCCCAGTCTTGCCTATTCTGTAATGTTCTTTGGACTCGAGCAGACATGGCTGTGGCAGCATGCTTGTCCGTTTTCCCACTCTTGCCTATTCTGTAATGTTCTTTGGACTCGGGCAGACCTGGCTGTGGCAGCGTGCTTGTCCGTTTTCCCACTCTTGCCTATTCTGTAATGTTCTTTGGACTCGGGCAGACATGGCTGTGGCAGCATGCTTGTCCGTTTTCCCACATTTGTCTATTCTGTGATATTTCCTTGGATTCAGGCAGACATGGCTCTGGCAGCATGGTTGGCCATTTCCTGCTTTCGCCTTTTTGAATGTATGCCAAATAAAACTTTCTTTTTGCTTTGCTAAACTTTGTGATGTTTTTCCCCTACAACAGAATACAGTGGAAATGATGCTGTGTGGCTTCCAAGACTAGGTCACAGAAAGCCTTGAAGTTTCTGGCTGAACCTCTAGGAACGCTCTTTTTTGTTCCTCTCTCGTTTGATGGTTTCTCTTAGAAAACAGCCACCATACTGTGAGAGGCCAGAGCTACGTGAAGAGGTGCAATGATTGACAACCCCTGCTGAACTCCCAGCCAACAGCCGGCATCATCTGCCAGCCCCGTCTGTGAGCCATCTTGGACATCCATCCCTGTCGAGCCTTCAGATGGCTGCAGCCCCAGCTTCTAATGACTGCAACCACATGTGAGACCCCAGGTGAGAGTTTCCCAGCTGAGCATAGGTGTAATGGATTGAATTATGTCCCCCCCAAAAATGTGTGTATCGATTTGGCTGGGTCATGATTCCCAGTATTGTATGATTGTGTACCATTCTGTAATCTGATGTGATTTCCTTATGTGTTGTAAACTATATCACTATGATGTAGTAAGATGGATTAGTGGCAGTTATACTGATGAGGTCTACAAGATCAGATAGTGTCTTAAGCCAGTCTCTTTTGAGATATAAAAGAGAGAAGCGAGCAGAGAGATATGGGAACCTCATTCCAACAAGAAAGCAGTGCCAGGAGCAGAGCATGTCCTTTGGACCAGAGGTTCCTGCGCAGAGAAGCTCCCAGACCAAGGGAAGACTGATGCATCACAAGGACCTTCCTCCAGAGCCGACAGAGAGAGAGCCTTCTCCTGGAGCTGATGACCTGAATTTGGACTTGTAGCCTACTGGACTGTGAGAGAATAAACTTCTCTTTGTTAAAGCCATCCATTTGTGGTATTTCTGTTATAGCATCACTAGATGACTAAGACCATAGGCAACCTACAGAATTGAAAGTGGTCATAATAAATTGCTCTCTTATGTCAAAAGTTTTAGAGTGGTTTGTCCCTCAGCAGTGGATAACTGAAACAAATGGCTTCCCATATGTATCAGTTGAGGTTTCATTTGGCTGCAAATGAGAGGATATCTGACTAACAATAACTTACATGCCCTGAATGACCCCGCATACCAAGAGCCCTGGGGGAGGCAGCTGTAGCATTTGCTAAGTGGCTGTACAATGAGGACCTGGAAACCTTCTGTATTTCCACTCTGCTTTCCTCAGCATGGTAGATGGGCCGCGTGTTGTTAGGGTTGTCATCCCACAGATTCCAGATGGCCCCAGTGCCTCACGGTCACCTGAAAGTCAGGACAGAGGGGCGAAGTGGAAAAGCTGTCTCTCCTTAACTCTGAGGTTTTGTCTAAGAGTCTGATTTTCCCCAGGAGCCTTCCAGAATACTTCTATTTACATTTATTCGTCACAACTGGGTCACACGCCAGAGACTCCGTCAGCCTGAGACCAGAAAGACTAGATGGTGCCTGGCTACCACCAATGACTGCCCTGACAGGGAACACAACAGAGAGTCTGATGGAGCAGGAGAAAGGTGGGGTGTAGAACTCAAATTCTAGTAAGAAGACCAGACTTAATGGTCTGACAGACTGGAGGAACCCCGGAAAGCATGGCCCCTGGACTCTCTGTCAACCCAGAACTAAAACCATTCCTAAGGCCAACTCTTAAGACAAAGATTGGACTGGACTGTGGGACATAAAATGATACTCGTGAAGAGTGTGCTTCTTAGCTCAAGTAGATACATGAGACTAAATGGGCAGCTCCTGTCCAGAGGTGAGATGAGAAGGCAGAGAGGGTCAGGAGCTGGTTGAATGGACACGGGAAGTTGGGTGGAAGGGAAGAGTGTGCTGTCACGGTATAGGGAGAGCAGTTAGGGTCACATAACAATGTATGTATACATTTTTTTGTATAAGAGACTAACTTGAATTGTAAACTTGCACTTAAGCTGCTACAACAACAACAACAAAGAACTGGGTCACACGTACACCTCCAGACCAGTCACTGGGAGAGAGGCTTAGAAATGACCTTACCAATCATGATTCTTTTTCTGCCATGGGGACGGGGCCCGTCCTCACTGAGATCAAGGCGTTTCTGCCCACTGCCTGAGTAAAGTGGGTTCTGTTTTCAGGACGGAGGGTGGAATGGGTTGTGCCACAGCGTCTGCCACCCGTTTGGTCTTAGATGAAGACCAGGCCCTTACCCTTCAGCTGTCTTTTAGAAAACCTGTCACAAACAGTGGCTCTCACAAGGGGACGAGTCTAGTGGACCGAGGCAGCCGTGACCTGGGCTGAGGCTGCCCCTGGTTCTGAGGCCAGGACCCCGGAGAAGTTCCCACTGTGAGGCCCCTGAGGACCAGGAGTCCTGGGCCATTAGCAAATCCCTGTCTGTTTACTGTAATCGGCAGAATGTATCAGTTCTTTCAAATGAATGCATTGGTTTTGTTTTTTAAATCAACAATCTTCAGTACTACTGCTGTGCACCTAAATAGAATATCCACAAAGGGTCACAAGGGTGGTATCCAATAAATATTTGGAAGGTAGGAAATGATCTCAGTGCCTAACCTCTTGCAGGTTCAGGGAGCTGAGCAGGACTCTGAGCCCCGCGTGGGCTGGGTGATGATGTGGATGGGTGCAGCCCGAGAGGTGGCATTGCAGCCCACGGAGGTTCATCAGGTGTGAGCCGCGGCCCGACCCGCCTCTCCTGGGCTGGCCACGGATGACTCACCGCAGCAGCAGCCATTGGATTAAAAGCTGTTGCTCCATGTGGGTGCTGCTGAATCAGGCATTACAGCTGCCACCGAAACCCTGTGTCTGGAATCTGCTAGTAAACTTCTCTCCATCTCCTGGAAAGAACGGAATTTTACCCTCTTTTCAAGTATCAACACCATTCTCTTCTTTCAAACAAACAGTGTTGAATCAAAATTGAAGTTCCTGGGAAGGAAAAGAGAGTGATGAGCGCATGAGGGCCAAGGAGGCAAATTTAACAAAGAAACTGCCAACAGGAAACGTGAAAAGTTGCTGTGCACAGCAGCTTGAATAACTAGGAGGAAAATGCCCCGTTGATGCTCATCATGCTCTGGTGAGGTTGTGTGTGGCTGGCTGGCTTCACACGCGGGCTGTGGGAAGGGTGCTGTTTCTAGGGGGACAGCCACTTACACACATGAGTTTTCAACTCTGTGGACAGAACTGTGAGCTTGAAATCTACAGGGTCCTTGGCCTAGATGAAGAAAAAAGAAATTTTGAAGGTGAACCTTCTGACCTTACAAGATCTGTGCCTGATCTTTCAGGGAGAGTGAGGAGGTGTAGGGACGGTCAAGAGGATGGGCTTAAATCCCACACCCCTCCCTTCCTAGCTGTGTGAACACAGCCAGGTTTTAAAACCTCGCTGTGCCTCAGTTTCCTCATCGGCCAGTCAGGGGAAAGTGATAGAACTCAACTCACTGAGTGGCCACAGGGAAGAAATGAGGCGATGCTTATCAGGTGCTTAGACTCACGCCATGCACACGGTAGCTCAACGAGGTCTTCACTGTCGTTATATCAGAAAAAAAATGCTGATGTCGTAAAAGGAAAAATTTCTGCACAAACGTTTACTTTTACTTTCATTTTGCTTCCTGTTCTATTTTACTTTCAACAGTCATAATAGTTTTCATTTTTTAGTACCTATAGTGTTTTAGCTCAGTGGTTAAGAGCTCGATTGCTAACCAAAAGGTCACCAGTTCAAATCCACCAGTGGCTCCTTGGAAACCCTATGAGGCCGTTCTGCTCTGTCCTAAAGGGTTGCTATGAGTTGGAATCGAATCGACGGCAATGGGTTTTTGTTTTTTTATAGTGTTTTAAACTGATATTAGGGACTTTTATGTAAATTATCTCAATAACTTCTCCAAACAACCTCAACAATAAAAATATATATTTTACGTGTGCTCATCACACATACATATATGTACACACACACGCATGCACACACATATCCCCAATGAATACAAACCTATTTGCTGTCAAGTCGATTTCGACACATCGTGACCCTGTAGGACAGAGTAGAACTGTCCCCCACAGAGTTCAAGGCTGTAAATCTTTACGGAAGCAGACTGCCACATCTTTGTCCCAAAGAGTAGCTGCTAGGTTGAACTGCTGACCTTTTGGTTAGCAGCTGAGCGCTTAACTACTGTGCCAACAGGGCTCCTTCCAAAGCGTATAGCATCTACTTAATTTTCCAGTATGACTAATTTGTTGCAACATTCCCCTGTGTGGTTTTTGTCTGTGAAAAGGAAGCTAAGCAGGGGATATCTAAATGCTCGATTGTATAAATCCTGATAAGGAAAAGTGTCGCTAAGATTTTTTAACCTTTAACCAGGAGGTCACAGAGCATTTCCTCCTGCACCTTGCCCCATGCCCTCTTCTCTGCTCACACCTGTTTGCTTTCAGTTCCTTGAAATGCCTTTGCATATGTTATTCCCTCTGCCCCAGCCCGCTGTCCTCCACCCCTTCACAGCACTTGTCAGGGTGAAGATCTTACACGTATTTGTGCGAATATTGGATTAATACCTCCTTCGCCCAAGACAGTTTCGTGAGGGCTGGGTCTGGTTTTGCTTCTCCTTTATCTTCCTCTCAGTTCCTGTCGCGTGTTTCTGAATGAATGAACAAACAAAAGAACGTGGTAATATACACGGATGCTTCCCAAAAGCCACACGTGTACGTATTCATAAGTATGAATGTAAATCAACATTGAACAAGATCCAGAAAAATACACACCAAATTTTAAGGGTTCACCTCTGATGGGAAGGGAAGTGAGGATAGGGGAGTGGGTGAAAAGGCTTATGCATTTTCCTCTCTATTCTCAAGTATTCCATGTATCATATTTACAACAAGGATGCATTCAGGTATTACACAATAGAAACAACAAGGATGCAATCAGGTATTACTTAAGCAGTAGAAATATAACCACAAGTAGCAATGACGTGACCAACATTGTGCTGTAATTCTTTTTACAGTGATTACATTGCTGATTTTCCTTACAGAGCATGCAGAATTGTGTCAGGCATGTTAGTCAGTAAATTTCTCAACACCTACTCGTTCGCTCAGGAATTCTAAAATATTTCAGAACTTGTGTGTCTACACCATAGTTTGGGTTGGGAAGCCACTTACTCACCATCAAAATTCAGATTCAGGATTTAAATGCATATTCTATCAAAGGAATGAAAAGAGAACATAGTGTTAGAATGGGCTTGTAAATCTCCTGAACACTATGGTGTAAACCTGCTATTGGGAAACTCAACTCAAAGGAACGCAGCAAAGGAGATGGGCGTGTTGTCAAACTCGTCCGGCTTCTTGTAGATCCGGAATGTTCACTCCAGAAACCCTTCACATAATTCTAACTGAGCTATCCCAGCAGATACACGACGGTCCTAATATTTCTTGCTACCTTCACCTTTCCCCGTGCAAACAACATGCTGTCATTTAGGTTCACGACTACCACTGCCACACACCTGGACATTCATGTGTTTGAAAGGAAGACAGAGTGGTTGTTAACGTCTTCCAGTCTGTGCCATAAAAATACCAGTGACTGTGTTGGAGAATTTGAGGTTTCAGATAAGCATAAAAGAGTTTCATGTTATCCTACTTGGGTGAGTAGCGTCTGGGGGTCTTAAAAGCCTGTGAGCGGCCATCTAAGAGACTCCACTGGCGCCACCCCATCGGGAGCAAGGGAGCTTAAAGAAAACTAAAGACACAAGGGAAAGATTAGTGCAAAGGACTAATGGACCACAACTACCACGGCCTCCACCAGACTGAGTCCAGCACAACTAGATGGTGCCCGGCTACCACCACTGAATGCTCTGACAGGGATCACAATAGAGGGTCCCAGACAGAGGTGGAGAAAAATGTAGAACAAAATGTAAACTCACATCACAAAAAAAAAAAAAAAAAAAAAAAAAGAATTACTGGTCTGACAGAGACTGGAGAAACCCCGAGAGTATGGCCCCTGGACACCCTTTCAACTCAGTACTGAAGTTACTCCTGAAGTTCATCCTTCAGCCAAAGATTAGACAGGCCCATAAAACAAACAATAATACATGTAGCTCAACCATGAGTACGAGACTAAATGGGCACACCAGCCCAGGGGCAAGGACAAGAAGGCAGGAGGGGACAGAAAAGCTAGACGAATGGAAATGGGGAACCCAGGTCGAGAAGGGAAGACTGGTGACACATCACAGGGTTGGCAACCAATGTCACAAAACAATATGTGTATTAATTGTTGAATCAGAAACTCATTTGCTCTGTAAACCTTCATCTAAAACACAATACAAAAAAGAGAGTTTCATGTTAAAAATCAAATGGAATCCAACTGAGTGATGGGTCCAGGCTTTGGATCAAGGAGAGACTTTGGGGTTATAGTCTGGGAGGGGTTGGGAACCTTCCCGGTTGTTCCACTAACACAAATGTTGATTGGTTCTTTCTTTGCTCTCTACCCATTTCACATTTGATAGACTCAACCTTGACTCCTGACTAGGGAGAAAGGCCTTGCAATCTACTTCCAAAAATGAGCCAGTGAAAACCCTACAGATCACAACAGAATATTGTCTGATATAGTGCCGGCAGATGAGCGCTGTAGGTTGGAAGGCACTCAAAATACACAGTGGCCGCGACAACGGACTCGAGCTTCCCAATAATTGTGAGGATGACAAGGGCCTGGGCAATGTTTCGTTCTCTTGTACATGAGGCCACCATGAACCGGAGAAGACTCAACGGCAACCACCTTGTCCCCCAAGGTAGAATCACGTCATTTCAACCAATTGCAAGGTTCACCCTCACAGGCCAGGGCCACTGGGATGGTCACAAAGGTGAGTGAGTGGCAGTGAATCTTAGCGAGCACCTGGTCAAATTCCATTCATGTGCAGATGAAACAGGTGGACAGGTGGAATGCCTCACCTGAGGGCACTGAGTGAACGAGCACCATGCGCGTGGGGGTGGTCAGTCACTGGGGTCCCTGATAACACATTTTATTCACTGTGTGAAACTCCTTCCTTTAGAACATGGGTCATGGATGTGGGAGGAAGAAGGGAGATGTAAGTGTAAGCACACGTCCTGGGATCCTTTTAAATCATATCCACTTGGTATTGTTTTTGTTCCTTGTCTCTATGAATACTTTCTTTACCCTAGATAACCCAGGTGAAGAAATTACATTGCTTGCCTAGTCCCATCTCAGCTGGGATTGTGTTGAGTCCATCTGGCACAAGGTGCCCCTTGAAGTGACTCTGAGCTCATCCTATGATGTCTGGTTGCAACCGGCTCCCTGCCCTTCTGTCCCCACTGAACCTGAAGTTTTCCTCATGACAACGGCTGCCACTTATTTCTGCCCTGTTACTGTGTCAGGTTCTTTCACGTGTATTAAACCACTTTATCATCATGATAATCCAAGAGGGAATTACCAACCCTATTGTACAGATGTGTTGCTATTAGTTGCTGTCTAGTTGGCTTTGACTCATGGTGACCCCATAGACAACAAAATGTAACGTTTGCCCTTTCCTGCGCCATCTTCACAATCATTGGTGTTTTTGAGTCCATTATTCCAGCCACTGTGTATTTTGAATGCCTTCCAACCTAGGGGGCTCATCTTCCAGCACTGTATTGTACAATATTCTGTTATGATGCATAGGACATTCATCGGCTAATTTTGGGAAGGAGATCACCCAGCCTTTCTTCCTAGTCTGTCTTAGTCTAGAAGTTCTGCTGAAATCTGTCCCCCATAGGTAACCCTCCTGGTATTTGACGTACTGGTGGCAGAGCTTAGAAAACCAAAAAAGTGGCGTGGTTTTTAAAAAATGTACAGGAACCTTAAACCCACCCACTTGGGCTAGCCTCTCATTTTTTCTCTCCTGCTGTGTGATCATTGCCTTTTCTCCCCATTCCAGCTCTCCCAGGCCTGGGCCCACCTCCCTTCTAGAGGAATTCCACCTCAGTGCATCCCCCCTGAAGAAAAGAGGTAGGTGAATGTACTGCCCTCAGGAAGCAGAAAAATCCAAGATCTGACAACAATATTCTGGATGAGGTCATTAAAACCAAGTTTTCCACATTCTTTGGTGGTTATGAGAGTGGGGAGGGAGGGTGAGGGTTATTCACTAACTAGAAAGTAGACAAGAATTATCTTAGGCAAAGGGAAGGACAGCACACACTACAGGGGAAGTCAGCACAACTGGACTAAACCAAAACTAAGAAGTTTCCTGAATACAACCAAACACGTTGAGGGACAGAGTAGCAGGGGCGGGGGTCTGGGGACCATGGTTTCAGGGGTCATCTAGGTCAATTGGCATAACAAAGCTTATTAAGAAAATGATCTGCATCCCACTTTGGTGAGTGGTGTTTGGGGTCTTAAAAGCTTGCAAGCAGCCATCTAAGATGCATCTGTTGGTCCCAACCACCTGGAGCAAAGGAGAATGAGAAACACCAAAGACACAAGGAAAGTATTAGCCCAAGAGACAGAAAGGACCACATAAACCAGAGACTTCATCAGCCTGAGACCAAAAGAACTAGATGGTGCCCAGCTACCACCAATGACTGCCCTGACAGGGAACACAACAGAGAGTCCCGGATGGAGCAGGAGAAAGGTGGGGTGCAGAACTCAAATTCTAGTAGAAAGACCAAACTTAATGGTCTGACTGAGACTGGAGGAACACCAGAAATCATGGCCCTCGGACTCTCTGTCAATCCAGAACTACAAAATTTCCCGAGGCCAACTTTTAAGACAAAGATTGGACTGGATTGTGGGACATAAAATGGTACTCATGAAGAGTGTGCTTCTTAGCTCAAGTAGATACATAAGACTAAATGGGCAGCTCTTGTCCGGAGGTGAGATTAGAAGGCAGAGAGGGTCAGGAGCTGGTTGAATGGACGTGGGAAATCCGGGGTGGAAAGGAAGAGTGTGCTGTCACAGTATAGGGAGAGCAACCAGGGTCACAAAACAATGTATGTGTAAATTTTTGTATGAGAGACTAACTTGAATTGTAAACTTTCATTTAAAGCACAACAAGAAAAGGCGTGGGGGAGAAAAGTTAGAGGAGAAAAAGGCAGAGACTAGGAAAGAGATTGTTTCAAGAAGTGAGTATTCAGTTACTGAGTGCTGCCAAGAGGTCTAATAAAAAGTTAACAAAAACAAAAACAGAAAACTGAGTTTTCCTTATTCTTTATTGTCAGCATTACCTGATTCTTGAGCCCCATCTTGCACTTAGTCAGAATCTGTGTTGTAGCAATCCAGCTAGGGAATTCTGTGTGAGGTCCACTGCCCTAGCGTCCCGTGATGATCCTCCAAGACTGAAGAAAGAGACTTGGGTGGGGGTGTGTGTGTGTGTGTGTGTGTGTGTGTGTGTGTGTGTTTCTGTGTCTGTAGGGACTCTCGGAAGACTCCAGAAGGCTAGAGAGTAGGACTGGCAAAGAGACTTTGAGTTTGAATGCTAACGTTTCAGGAGAGATGTGAACACACATCGGGCTTGCTGTTTGCTTGACTCTCCTTTGTGTTCCATGCTCTCCAGGACTTGACAGCCAGGCTACCCTGACTAAGACTTCACGGATTTATACTCCCACCCATAGAATTTGAAGTGCTTGTTATACACAATCCACACCTATGCTGAATATTTTGCTGGTCTGATGCTAGAGAAATGATGCATCCTGGTGGATTTAATTGATTTTTCCCCATTTAGTAGTGAGATGGGAATCCCTGGGGGGGTGCAAACAGTTAAACCCTTGAGTAGTAGCTGGAAGTTTGGAAGTTCGAACCCACTCAGACATGCCTCTGAAGACAAACCTGGTGATCTGCTTCTGAAAAAGATCACAGCTTTTAAAACCCTATGAAACTGTTGTACTCTGCACACATGAGGTGACCATGAGTCAAACTGGACTCGACTGCAATTAACGCTAGTGAGACAGAGCGTGTTTCTGCTTATTATCTATTAGTATAATATCTTCCCACCGCTCCTCTGCCAGTTCGTTGTACTGTGGTGGCTTGCGTGTTGCTATGATGCTGGAAGCTATGCCACTGGTATTTTGAATACCAGCAGGGTCACTCATGGTGGACAGGTTTCAGTCAGCTTCCAGACTAAGACAGATTAGGAAGAAAGACCTGACCATCTTATTCTGAAAATTAGTCAATGAAAACCTTATGGCTCACAACAGGATATTGCCTGATATAGTGCTGGAAGATGAGTCCCCTAGGTTGGAAGGCGCTCAGAATACACAGTGGCCGCAAAAATGGCCTCAATCCTGTCACCAGTTGTGAAGGTGGTATTGGAGCAGGCAGTGTTTCCTTGTGTTGTACGTGAGGTTACCTTTAAGTCAGAGCCGACTCAATGGCAACTAACAACAAAAATGAGAACAACAAAACGTCTTCAGCGAATTGTTTCTTTAATATTTTTGCCTATTTTTCCATAATTTTTCTTTTTTGCATATGATTTTATATTTTGTACATTTATTTCTTTTTATATATGTCATGCATATTTTCTTTCATGGTGTCACTGTTTTTTTTTAACTTTGTTTTGCTATTGTTTATTGTACATCAATTTTTTATGGAGTCAAATCTACCATTTTCCTCCATTTTCAGCCCTTGGGTTTGTGTCCTGTAAAGAAAAGCTTTCTTCAAACTTATGGTTTTAAAAAATTCTGTTTTCTTAAAATATTTCTATAATATTTCTATGTTTGTTTTTAACTGGAATTTATTAAATTTAATTTCGTGTACAGTGTGAAGGAAATACCTGCAAATACCTGAATAGTTAATAAGTCTAAGAAATTTTCCCGTAATCAGAGGAATGCAGTTCTGAACAACAAAGGGATACCAACTTTCCCCCTGTCAGCTGAATAGAAATAGAGAAGGGGATGCTCTGAAGTGCTGGTGATGGTGTGGTGAGCAGGCAGTAAGTGTGGGGAAGGCTGGACGTTGGTGCCTCTCCTCAAGAGCTGTCTGGCTGTACTTGGTGAAACGCCATCCATATGTCCCTCGGATCACACAGTTCTACTCCTGAGTATCTATGCATGCTGGAAACCTCTCACACAAGGTCATAGGGGTCACTCATGCAGCTAGCCATAGACCATGTGTGGTCTGTCTGAAGGGAAATCGGTAAGTAAAGCCTGGTGGACGCTGTAGCAGAAGCTGTCTGGCCACCTGCCCTGCCCCCAGGACTCACCCTTCTGTGCCAGCCCTGCAGCTCTTTCCCAGAAGCTTTCTAGGGCGCTGGAGCCCCCGTTGCCTGCATTCAGGGCAGGCTAGATGTGCTTCAGTGGAAACTGGCTGACCACATCCCCTCACTGGCTCCTTCTCTCTCCTGCCCCATTTCCCCACGTAGGTCATTTCCAAAATGAACTACTTGCACTCACGGCCTTGCTCGGGGTCTTCCTCTCAGGTGTCTCAGATAAAGCAGTACATTCCACGGAATGCCAGGCAGCTGCAAAGAGCGACTTAAACATACACACGTACACTCACACACACACGTAAACTCACACACACATACACTCACACACACTACAGCCACACACACACACGTACACACTCACACGCACATACACTCACACATGCATAGAGAACGCCAAAGATTTCACAAGAAAACTACTGGA